CATCACTTGCTACTTAACTCTTTTTGCTCCAGCATTTCCATTCTACTCTTCACACCACATGGGTTCTATTCTCCTGCTAGTGACATCCCCTATCCATTACATGTTAATAGTTTCATGATTTATATGGGTACTCTAGTTAACTAGAGATACCAGAAAATTCAAATCTAGCATCTGCATATGACAGAAAGATTTTGGCTTTTTCTTATTGTGTGGGTTACCTCATTCAGAATGATAATCCCAGCTTCATCCATTGCATGTAACTTTCATAATTCTATTTGTGTTTTCAGCTGAATAAAATTAAATTTTGAACATGTTCCACAGGTTCAATATCATCCATTACTTGATAGACATCTAGGCTGTTGCCATGTCTGACTATTGTGAATAAACCAACACTAAACATGAATAACCAAGAAATTCCTATGGTAGGATATGCAGTCTATTAGGTATATGCCTATGATTAATAGACGTAGATGATAGTATTGTTATCATTACACAAATTTAGTGTATCTCCACATTAATTTCCATAGGGCCTACAGCAGTTTGTGATCCCCTTGACTCACATATATTCCAGCATTTGTTGAAGTTTATGTTCTTGTATATGATGATATCTCAGTGAAGTTTTAAGTTGTATTTCACTGATTAGTAAGGAGATTGAACATCTTTATAATCTTTCTCAGCCATTTTTATGTTATCTTTTCCGAATTCTCAGTTTAGTTACATGTGTTTTAAACTGGGTTGTTTGCTTTATCAATAGTTAAATTAATGTTTGCTTATTAGACATTGGGACCTCTATTTCCTGCTATCTCAACTTCTCTGGTTTTGGAACAGTTGAGAATGTTTGAGATACAGTCTTTAAGCCACTCAGTGTTGATGTGTGAATGTATTATCTACAGTGTTTTTGGCCCATGCACCAAGCAGCTTCTCTCACCCTACTGGGCACCTATCACATGAATAGGGTTGATGCTCTTTGTGATTTGGGACATTTCCTCTGACATATCTCTCTGTCTTCTTGGGGATACTAGGTATCTACCCATTTCTCTCTCATCCTTGCTGTCTCTTCCAACATGTTCTTTGATTACTCCGGGAGCTTGCTCTTCATACTCTTCATGTGCCTTCTTCAATCTCTTTTCCTTCCCCTGACTTAGAGATTCCATTGATCCTAATTGTCTTATTGCAAATGGCTTGGCCCCAGGACAGCTCAGTGGCTAAAGATGGACACTGGATTATCAAATGCCCATAAATTGTAATTATTTCACCTATATCACAAGCACATAATCCCAAAGTCACTTATTTTTAAACTCTTTCTGCTCTCTACTCTCAAAAAATCTCTTATATCTCCTTTTTTCTTTGATCCCTGCTCCTGTTCTCTTGGAACCTTTTTGTGTTTTCTGCATGCTCTATTCGCTTCATGTGATCACTGGCTGTAGTTTTTACCAAGATTCAAATATCTTTGCAGTGTGGGTAGTATTAAAACTGTGTTATTCTGTTGTACTCTATAAATAAGGTGCTTCTGGGGTTGGATTTTAGCCCTGCGTCTCCATACCCGAGCATGCTGTTTAAAAGTTTCTTTTGAATCTGTTCTGTGTGAAGCTGGCCACCTGAATCTCTAAGACAGTGAGAAGGAAAGCAAAACACAATAGCTCAGGATGGAACACTGTGTGGTTTAAAATATATAAAAAGCAATCTTTCCCCAGTAGAAATCCCAGGTGCTAATCTACTCCCTTACTTATGTCAATCAAACTTTAATAAATTATAAAAATTATGTTAAGATTTTAAGACTATTAAATTTTCTGTAGCTCTGGATTTGTAAATTCATTGGATGTGATTTAAAAATCGGTGAAATCTATTACAAACAGTCAAGTTGAAATTTTTAACAAAAAGGCTTGACAAGTTTAAAAAATGTACAACCTGATTATGTGTCACTTGGAGTCAACTCTTATTTAGAAAAATATATATGACACAGCATACTGTACATGTTACTTGGATTAGATTCTTATTTCTGGAATAAAAGACTTATTATAGCAAATGTTTGATAAAGGTTTATAATTCCTAAGGGGCTAAGAGTCTATGCATGATAACAGAGACTGATTTAGAGATACATGCATGATTAGTTATGTCACTGCTAACTGTGTTCAACCCTAGGCATCTAGAAAATATAGATAAAGAACAATGTGTGTTTAATGATTAAGGTATGTTTGTTAAACAAGTATATAAATTCCTAAAGTCCATCCAGGCTACCACAAACTGACATGAAGTTAGACATATACCTTCTTTGTCTTTGCTAACTATGTTAATCTTGATGTATTGGAATAAACTAAGTTATATAAGAAACTGATATTCTATAAAATGCACTATTAATAATTACAAAATTAATGTTCCCAGACACATTATGGACTGTATTTTTGATTTATGACTTTATTTTGATGCTAAATGATCTTTAATTCAAAGCTGTAAGGCTCAAAGTAAACATGGATACCTTTGTAAAATTCTAATCTTATAAAAACTACGAACTTGTAAACAGTAGAAAATAATTAAGACATGTAAGTTAATGTTCAGTAACTCTATCAATGGTCAGATTCGTTATTGTAGTCAGAATTATATTTTTATATATATATATATATATATATATATATATATATATCATCAAGGAAAAGTGTGAAGCAAGACACTGAAAATAAGTAGTTTTTTACACATAAGGTATAGTTAATGAATTAAACAATATCCCGGAAGCCCCTCAAAGAGATCTGCTGACTATGGAACTTAAGGAAGTTAATAAAAATGCTTCCCCTGGTAAACAAAACTACAAGCTTCTGGAATCAGCAGCTGAGGCCATCCACAAATCAGATGGGAGAAACAGACTCCACATGAATCTTACAACAACTGTAGTCTTGATGACTACTGCTTCACCCAATACTAGTTTCCTGCCAAAACTTTGGACACTGTTGGGTTGAATACCCTACTCTGCCTTGGCAAGGTACGTAAGTTTCTCAAGTTCCTCTTCTACAGAAATATGGCTCAGATCTCAAGAGTTCAATGGTTGATGGCTGATGCTACCCTGTGTGGCAGTCAAAGTCTAATGGTGTCTTATGTCACATCCAAAAACTGACAACTTGTGCTCTGAACAAAGACATCCAGATCACCATACAGGATCCCAGACTGGCTTCCCAGGGTTCAGGGAACTCTGGGACATTGTAACTGATATAGAGGCAATTTGGTTTCTGTTTCCTAGTGGGATTTATCCTCCTTAGATCTTTGATAATGTTGCTAGCTAGATGTACTAGTATAAGTTTAGCAGCAGCAGGCAGACCTACTCAGATCTTTCCAACAAGGCTCATCTGAATGGTCTGTCCATATCATATGTGAAAATTAGGTCTTTTTTTTCTAAACTAATAGATCATGTGCTGAGGAAGGCAGACATACAGACAGGGTTAATTGCTGACAGTCTTTACACGGAAAACCATAATCTCAAACAATTGATTTAAATGAAAATCAAACGGAAGCAATCACCTTTTGAATCTTTGATCCCATCAAGCAACCATCTATGTCTCCTGGTAAAAGATTAGATGGAAAAATGTTTAAAATTGACATGACCTTTGAGGGTCTAGGGAAGTGAATTAAAGTCGGTAAGTGCAAGCTGCAAAAGTCTGTTTAATTTATTTAAGTTATGTGAAATGAGACTTAAAATTTCAAAGGTACAGATTTTTATCTTATTAATCAGTTGCATTCTGATATGCTATTAATCTAGCCTTGGTAAAATACTGCCTACTATTTTCATAGTCAAAGGGCAAAATTTTTAGTTTCCTTTCATTTTTTTTATATTCTGGACAGCGAGACAAGGAAAAAAATTTTTTATGTTTATGCTTGTATCATCCTTTGGGTCCCCAAGTTTTTACAATGGCTATGGAGCATAAGTCTACAATAAAAATACTGGTTAAATGCCTGGAAGTCTGTTTCCTAATCTCACGAAGCAGTGAATGTTTTGAACCTTCAAGAAGACTCTTCTCAGTAGAAGATCTCCCTAATCTAGAATAGACGTTCAAATGAACAATGGCACAGATGATAGCAACAATAGAAACAAACAACAGGAAATATAAAACAGCAACTCATTCACAATATCATAATGAAACAACAAATGAACTCTAATATTCTCCAAGAGATCCAATGCTAGTTGAGTAATTCAAAAATAAAGATAAATGACCTAAAAGCAGATAGAAACAAACAAGAGAATTCGACTAGGCATTGAGGAAAAATGCAATGCTGTATAGGAAAACAATGGCTGAGGGATAAGTAAAGGAGCCATATATGTCAAAGAGTCATTACCAAGAAACATAAATCCTAAAGGGAAATTGAGATGCTTGGGAAGGGGAAGAACAAGTAAAATTGTTGTGAATGGAAAACACAAAACTGCCAATAAAATACAGTGGAAAGTGAACCCACCACAACTGACTGATGAGAAGACAGAATATCAGGCATGATGGATGCAATTTTCAGAACACTGCTTTAAAATATCAATAAAAATGAAATAAGTAATAAACATGTCCATGGCATCCAAACTCTGAGATCCTTTAAATAGATCAATGCAAGAACACATGGGATAGGAGGTACTAAGATACATACTAAAGACATGGGGATTTAGCAGAAACTCCCTATTTTGTAGAAAGAAACAGACGTTCAAAGACAAGACATTTAGATTCCCTAGTGAAAAGGGTGGAACCTCTCAGTGGCACATTAGAGTCAATAGGTGAAAATAAGTTAAAGCCTGACCATGGACTCATAAAATGAACAGACACAACATTTGGCATTTCTCTATTTACTTGACTAGAAAAGTAAAGAAGAGGAAAACAAATGTCTGTTGATGCATAAAGGAGGAGGAAAGTTTGCAATGACTTTCACATGTCTGTGTAGACAATTAATTATTCTCAAAGGAATTACATGTGCACAGATGAACTTGCACTTTCATGTAGCCAGAACACTCTCAGCACAGTCACACAAGTACTTACATCATGGCGTCAAAAAGATTCGGTTTTTCCTTAAAAGGTGTCAGGAATTGGTGTTGTAATTCTTGTGTGACATAAATGGGGATAAATGCACCTAGGATTATGTCACCATTCATGTAGGTGGTGGGATTCCGTTTATCCAAACACATCTCATGGATCATTTCCCCTATTGTAAAGAAATATTTCAGGAGTAGGAAGAGACGAAGTAAAGGAAGGGACATGGCAGGGTCTGAAATACACAGAGACAATGCCCTTCACCCTGAAACAATGCTTAGCTAAGGAGATTATTGGCTAAGCTCATAGAACAGGTTCAGACCGCAACAGTGTCAGAGAAAACAGTAGCTACAGCTTATTCCTGATGTTGCATCAGGCCTTCAGGCTGCATATAACCCATGGTTCTCATGCCAGACAAAGGCATAGACAGAAGCAAAGTCCAGACAACACAATAAGAGTGCTGAGAGTCTCTTCTAACTGTAACCAGAGTGACCCTGAATGTGCTGACTTTTCTTGCTACTATTTAGCTCTCATACATGTGCTCTGGGGATCCCATAGTCCTGGGACTGTGCACCTGCATTCTCTATGGTGGTGGAAAACATGTTTACATCCTTCCTTCTTCCCCACCTCTATGATTTCATCATGGTCCACAGTGACTTTGGAGAACACCATAGCCTGAGTCTGAGTTGCAGACATCACCACAGCTTGTTTGTTTTGGATTGCTGTTTTGGAAGACACATGGAGGAAATGTGAACAGGGGAGAAAAGGCCATAGCTGGAGCCCACAAAGCAACACTTACAATATTTCATCCAATTCTTTCACTCGAGAATGATGTGTTGATGTCAGTTTCCAGTGTCACCCATTTAGAAGCACACTAATCTTGTGTCTATTCTGACTCCCTGGTCTGCTCTCTCCTCCTTACAGCAATAATTAGTTAGATGTAGAAAGGAGTACGGACATCTTAAACAAATACAAACCATCATTTCCCACCTCACCCAACCACAGTATGAATGTTTCCAAGCAGTTAACAGTGTTGCATTGTTAGTGCACTCTGCTACAGCCCCTCCTCCACTACATTTTATAACAAATAATATTCATAATACTTTATCTCTACACTTCTTCCTCTCTACACTTCTTCCTCGTTCCTATAATACTAGTTATCAGAAATACTCTTGATATCATTTCATTTTGTACTATTGATAATTATGATAGAGTATAAGACAAATCAAACTATATGTATATGTGTTACATAGGCAACAAGAATTTATGAAAAATATCTCCCTGAATTTTCAAAAGAGCAGGTGTTGTATATTCAGGCTTTGCAGGATGAAAGGAAAGGAGAAATCATGGAATTATACCCTAGCAAATAAATAAACAGATATATCTCATGTATACCCTTCCAAAGTTTTGGTTATTGGATTCCTTAAATTATACACAAAGACCTTTTCAATTGAACAATGTTTGTTAGTATTATCTGCTCTGCATATATCTTGAGGTGTTTCTTTAAATTATCCCTCTTTTATCACTGCAATCTGTTCTTTGATTAGCTATTTCACAGAACCCTGATGTGCAGCCTCACACAGTCATTATTGTTAGACATGAGGACAGGTGTCCACTTCTTATTTCAGCTCTAGGACACTATTTGGCACAGAACCATGCAAGCCTTGTGCTTCCTGCCTCAGTTTCTGAAGATTCATATATGTATAAGACTAATGATTTACAAGGCTTTGATCTTTGTTCTCCTTCATTCCCTCTGACGCTGAAGCTGTTCTAGTTCAATTAACCTGAGCCTGGAGGGGCAATTTGATGGAGATATTACATTCAAGGTGCAGAATTCTGAGGTCTCTCACTGTCTGCATGTTGTTGGTACTTGTCTCTGTATTTGTTTCCATCTGTTGAAGGAAGAACAAATGATGAAAGCTGACAAAAGTCATTGTCTATAAATATACCAGAATGTCATTAGGGGTCCTTTTCTTGCTGCATTTTTGGTAGAACAGTAGTATTTTCTTTTTTCCTGCTTTTTTCCCTAAGCTATCTAGTTTTACATTCTTGGTCATGAAAACAGTGTCAGGTATCAGTTCCATCGGGTGTAGAAGGCTTAAATAGACTTTACTGCTTGGTTACACCCACAGCCATTTCACTAGCTTAACTTTTGAAGGTAGTACACCAGTGTACTTTTAAGGTTTTGTAGCTGGATTGGTACTTACATTTCTCCTTTGGTAGCATGCAGAGTACCTTCCTGTATGAAAGTTGCTAACATGTATAGGTGAAGTTTATATGTTCACACCAGCTAGATTTCTCTATGTTCAATGAGTTGTGTGTGTGTTTCTTCAGAAATAGGGCCTTGCATTTAGTTTGATGTCATATATGCATAAATTAGGAAGTTTCTACTGTGGTAACTTTCCATAGTAGCACTTAAATGACCTTAAATTTAGTTATGCCTACTCATATTACCTTCCTCATTGCTCTCTTCCCTCCACACCCTTACTTGACTCTCACTTTCGAGCATATATGGATTCATAACTACCTATTTTCTTTTTCTTAAGAGATCTATCTGCCCCATTCCCAGGCCCCAGGCCCGCATTATGTATGTATGTATCCTCTGTTGTTTTATATATTTTAACTTTCTTATCATTAGCTTCACAACTAACATTCACAATATGCAAATACATAGTGTATTTTCCTTTTGAGTCTTGGTTACTTCACTCAGAATGATTTTCCCTAGTTTACCTGTGAATATCGATTTACCTGCAAGTTTCATGATTTCATTATTTATTTATTTATTTTTAAAGCAAGCTTTTTTAATGAAACAAATGCCTGCCTGCCCCTACAGTGAGTTTCAAGAGGTCAGCATTTGGTGTGGGGAAGAGAAGAACTTTTTATAGTTCTGGGGTAAAGGAGTTCCAAATGGGGTTGGCAGTCAAATAAAACAGAACATAGGAAGATGGTCATAATAAGGTAGTCATAACCA